CTAGCGACGAGTTTCCGGGGCCTACTTTTACTTCGTCGTGGTCTCGTGTGTGCTCTTCAACCAAGATGAGTCCCTAATGGCGGTAACAATCAGACTCAATTCGGTGCGGGCAGAGAACGCGCGGGCGCCGCGCCATGGTACTTGTAAAGTATAGGCTTTGCCATGGGAAATCAAACATTTGACCTCACTTTGCACCACGTGACAGCACTCACCGAATAGCAGTGGAAGGAACAGGTATGCGCAACTCTGCTACCTAAAGGTATCATATACAGCAACTCTAGCCCTACCCTTCATGTGGCGCCGCACCGCGACCGTTCCCTGAACAAAAGCGGACGACGGCTCCCACTGAGATGCGAGCGTTTGCCCTGCCATAGAGGGGACGTCTGTGAAGCTGATTTTCCAGGCTTGCGTGTTTGAAAGGCAATAGCAGCGAGAAGCAGCTTGAATGCGGCTGCAGACCACATAACTTTTTGTGAAGAGCAGATGTTGAGATCGAATAGACAAAAAGCACCAATTTCAGGCTGCATTGTGGGATAGACGAAAATCTCACGGGGCATGATGAATTTTGCATGCAAGATGTAACTCTTGCAAAAAAAAAAAAGCTCATGCTACATGTTGTGTTAGTTTATGGTCTCTTTTTCACTCACTTAAGGGGGTCCCTCATCTATTCCACCGATTCCCAAAGGGTTCGCTAAACATTTATTGTTAAGAACTACTGTTGTAGCACTGAGAAACTTTGAATTCTTTGATTTCTCAAGCTTTTGTCCCGTTTTCAAAAAATCGGTTGCGTGCACATTTTTAAGAAAAAGGGTAAGCTTAATTATAACTTCTAAAAATCTTGAGTATCCAATTGCTCAAAATTTCATTGTGTTTTGGTAACATAGATTTTGTGTAAATTTAAGAGATAAAGTATACTTCATGAGACAAAATAGAGCCACGGCTCGCTATGCGGGTCTGGCACTGGCGAATATAGTCAACCTGTACAGTGCACATGAATGTTTTTTATATGACGTCATGTTCCGAGTTGTGTGGAAGCGTCAGCTTGCGTACTGACGTTGGTAGTGTCAACATCACACAATTACACCAATAATATCTGATAATTTAAGGGACAACAACAGACTATGATACTTTGTTGCAACATTTTTTATTCATTCTTTTTGCATTGAAAATTACACAACCAAACTTCGAAAATTCAAACGTGACTTTTGTGACATCAGTAGATTATATTTGTCAGCAAAACTGAAATATTTCTTATATTGAGAGTAATTCACAGTAAACATACGAGGTCAATTTTTCTGGGCAGGCAAAACGAAGGGTCCAGCAATTTCAAGCACCATTATTAAACAGTTCTTTTCGGCATTTCACATGCAATATAGGTGTTGTATAGTATATATCTGCGAGGTGGCTTAACCAGCACCTCTCCACCGAAACCGAATTCTTTCAAAATCTTCCCAATGTTCGACGTCTGCTAAACCATTTGCAACAAGAAAATGCCCTTGTCAGTCGCCGCCCAGCAACAGGGGCGCAGATTTTCGCGGATTACCTTTGGGACGGTAAAGACAAGGCACGCAGTAGCGCGAAGCAGCTCGCAGTTCGCAAAACAACCTATCCCGAAGCGCCAACAATCTTTGGGAAAACATCACGCTCATTTATATTCACGGCTTCACATACTCGCTCAATTTTCGCAAAGCAGGCAGATGTGAGAACAGTGAAAACAAAACAAAACAACAAGCAGAGGGGAGGGGGAGAGGCTAGCCACGCTGAGTGAGTTCACTTGCACTTCAACAACCCGTGATGACGTCACCTGACAAAAATGCATGATGTCACTCGTGAAACGTTAGCGGCAAGAACAGCTATCTCGTCTGTGCCAATAATTGGGCCGTGTCACTGAGGCCAGTAACCCACGCCATGCCGCTTCGCAGCCCTCACCATTTCGTCGGCATTCCTGCTGCCAAAGACAGCGTCAGCAACTATGTGCCGCTAAACCCATGACGTCACACGCGGCATTCCAGCTTACGTCACGTAACCTCGAGATGTCGCAATACAAACAGACACTAGAGTCATGTATTCGTACTTACATAAAAAAAGGAAAAAAAAAGGACATGTGGCGCAAGCCGATTAAGCAACGACGACCAAGACGTTTGTGTTAACTCGATTATAGCTGTCTACTTTGCCTGCGCTGTATTTTTTTTATCTTGCGTGTAAACTATAGCTGAACGAATCTGCAATCGCGATGCATCTCGTATTTGCTGACTTGCTTTGTTTTCTTGTATGATCTGAAAACACTTCGTGGGCGCACAAGTAATATACAGTGGAATCCCAAGTGCTATTCTAATGATAAAGAAAGAGTCATGTAAACGTTTGTGTGGTCATCCTTTTGGGCGCCATGTAGCCAGAAGCACAATAATATATATATATATATATATATATATATATATATATATATATATATATATATATATATATATATATATATATACCAAGAAGTGGAGGACGGGCAAAACGAAAACTTTTTATTTTTCCTACGTTTCAGCCGGGGACCGGCCTTCATCAGGCGGTCCCCGGACACCTTCTTCATATATCCAAGGACACCTTCTTTTTCATATATATATATATATATATATATATATATATTCATTGTGTACCTAAAGTCTGGCTTAATAACGCCCTGTTCAAGTAACACCAGCCTTCCTTACTGGCGCATATACAGCACACACACAGCTTTGCTATTTACATTGCGAGTTGGGTAAAATTCGAGCAAGATTTCTATATTTCACGCTTTTTTTCTTTTTCAATACAAACGTTGCAGACAATATGCTAACCCCGCACTGACTTTGTGACGTTTGATTTAGATTTCCAAGGGGTTTTTAAGGAACTGCATACCAGGGAGGTTTTTCGCATGCAGTTGGCTCACGACACACAGTCATGGAAATAACAAAAACTTGAAAGCATCACTCGAGAAAAATCACCGCTTTTACCTGTATGGCAGATTGATGTAATCTTTGGGCAAGATTTTATGTAGTGTGACAAGACCCCGAGATTGCTCGTGTGACCTTCGAGACTGAAGAACTCGCAAATACGCTTTCATGCATAATCACCATTTTGGCATGCTGCGTTTACAATACCACGCACGCAAGGCGACAGAGTAAGAGGGCCGCAACTGTTGTGACCCCTTCAATCAGCATTTCTCACTTTCACCGGGACTAGTTGGCTTGCGCTTGGACCAACACTGCTATAATAGGAGACTACACGGAGTAGATGAAGATATGAGACAAGCGTGCTTGCTCTGTCATAACTTGTAACTACGAAGAAAGAAAAAAAGAAGAAAACACCAGGCTTGCGCGGAACGCGCAGCAGTCACAGCGAAACCTAGAAGAGCGGCCTTTCAGAGCCTTTTCTAGACACTCTTTGGGTAACTGCTACAAGAACACTTGCTGGGTACCTACTAAGCCATAAATGATCATAATTTTTGTGCAGGAGGCCAGCATTCACTATGCTATGCATCGTCATTGTTCGGAGAAGCCTGGTATCCGCTACACACTTGCTAGAAATTCCGTGCAATTTTTTTATGCAGTGGCTGATGACGATGAAGAATTGTGCCTGAAGTGTGTATGGGCCATTAACAGGTGATCAAGAACAAGTTTTCCAATGAGTTGGAACATTGGACGACACACACGTTACCGAGTTCACATTGTGTGACGCCTGGTTGTTCCTTTGATGCTCTAAAACACATAGTTGCTCATACTAACACTATTACTTCCCCAACATCAAGCCTGCTTAAGGCCTGCTTAAGCACCGGCGTGGCTCAATGGTAGAATACTGGGCTGGCACGCAGCAGACCCGGGTTTGAATCCTATTGTGTCCCTAATGTTTTATTTTATGAGTTTTTTTACCTATTTCTAGCCATATTGGTTCTGATCTCATAACAGCTGATTCATTCTAATGTCATAACAGCTATGGCTGTAGAACTGTCGGTCGCCAACCCTTTCCTATGTTACTGCGTGAGCCGATTGAATGAGTTGTGCTATGCTGGGTACTAGAAGATGGCACTAAGGTTAATTACTTTTCTTCTGTTGGAACACTTTAAGATTGTCGCTAATGCATGCTTCCAGCACAAAAATGCAAGCTTCCAGCACTGGACCTAAAGTAACCCAGCTTCCAAAGTCGTGCCACATATGCCAACAGGCTGACTGCTCACAAGGCCAATTTACTCAAACATGGCCGAACTGAAGTGACGCTTCACGTGGCATGCAAACAGAATGACTACCGAAACTTCACTAAGGTTGAGCGTAGGCCTAGTTGGAGTAGCACGATTCGATGTTTCACAGCGCATGGAACGAGGATAACATGAGCTGTGAAACAATAAAGAACTATGTGCCTCTTTGTTCGTCTTCGTTCCACGCACTTATTCACACCATTTCTCCATTTTAGGCTGAGCTCAGTGGAAATAACGAGACCTTCCCGGTACTGTTATGCGGAAGTAAATTTGATGTAGCAGCCCCAGCCGTACATAGAATGCGAAAAACAACAATTCTTGACGATGTACAGCCGTCAGCATGCTTGACACGAACGCTTTGCAGCATGGCCTTAAACGATTTCACTGACGCCAGCGCCATCTTTGGGTTTTGTTTCAACTAGGTTACCTATACATAGCGACACGATATACAAGCTCACAGTGGTATTATCTCGGCAAGAGCTACCAGCACTTCACGGCTGGCGAAAACCAGGGCAGGTCACGCTGCGGAGCGGTCGTGTTTACAGTGCTGACGGCTGCACAGTCGACACTAGCCGTGTTCTACAAAAGGTTATATCGGGACAGAGTTACACGTGCTCGCACAATTCGCCGAATTTACATAATGCTGTAAAACTGTTCGTGAGACGCATCGGCAAGCTGTAAAGCGATCGACTGATAGATCTGAGCCAGGCGCCTTCCCACACTTTAGATGACCAGACAGATCCCTTATCACCGCGCGGAACGATCACGTAGCAGGAAAAAGAAAACCCTCTTGCATCAGCTTTACTTCGCTTTCGGGAAGATAAAGCATCGGGTGAAGAAACGCGACATTATTTGGACAAACCTAATTTTCATATGCACGAAAGGCAACCGGGAGCGTTATTCCGAGGTATGCCGGTGGGTGAACCATTGCAGTGGCGGAGCGCGTGTTGGCTCATGGAACTTCTTCACCTGAATCAGGCTCGGTGTCGCTGTGTAACCACGAAGAATAGTCACCGCAGACGACGCTGACTCGACGTTTTACAGAAAGCGTGACCCCAGACGGTCGGCGGCCCTGCGACCTCAGTTCCGCAGAGCTCTTCGCTGTCGATCAAAAGTGGGACGAGAGACGCTTTAACAGGACACACTCACGCACGCACACGACATTAAGCACACAGGAGGACGACTTTGGGAGTCCCTATACGCTCTGTGGCGGGGTCGAGGTCACAGGTTGAGTTCAACGTCTGTGGAATAGCAGCCGATCTGCTCTCCGTCTCGCAGCACCGTGGCCTTGATGACGAATTCGCCGTCGAGCAGGTACGAAGGAAGGTCCGGCGGAAGTTCGGGCACCTTGAATGTGGACGGCTTGAGGCGCCACTCGCCCTGCAAGGCACAGTTAAAAAAAAGAGCCGCACCGGTTACGCTTGAAACCGCAATCGGCACTTTTCCTGCTCTCGCGGGGCCTTCCACGCGTGCGTCGCCTGTCCCGAAGTGAAGCAGCGCCTCGTTAAACTAGGGTATGTAACGTTACCCCTTTACGCCACCATGAGAGGCCATTGCTAGATATGATTCTTTAGGCAAAAGACTCTATCTGTGGGGGAACCTACCATTACTGAAATGTGATTTAGGAACATCAAATGTGCAAAACAAGTGAGCGGGAAGAACCTTGCGTGCAGTGCTAGAAACGAATGATTGAGGCGTGTAAGCCTGTTCATGTCACCTTGAAGAAGGACAAGCAGATTGGGTGAGTTGGTACGTTTTCATGATAAAAATGAACAGCGCTAAACACACAGAACAAACGAAAGAAGTGGCACAGTAGGCGCTGAACTTGAAACATGGGTTCGTTGAAAAAGACGCATTGCTTTTTTTTTTATCGAACAAATGGCCCAAAGCGAGTGCGCATGCTCAGTGTTATAAACTATACATCCTCAAAGTAAATAGGCTAGTTAATCAGGACTGACCGGTGGGCTCACACGAGGTGGAGCCTTTGGGAATGACGTAAGACAAAGCCGAATTACCAAAGATGCAGCACGAAGTGACACCTTTGGTAATTGTTACCAGAATCGTATACGTCCGCACCAGTGGAACATGCCCCAACCGCTGCCGACAAAACTTTCCACAGCCATTACAGACTCGGTAAGGAGGCCACTTCGACGACCCCTTTAGCGCATGCGCAAGTAGTATAGCTCTCAGGGTATACAAGTAAACGTAAGTACGCCACCTTCAGCGGTTGCTCGTAGCGTATTGAAATACCTCGGTGGTGATGTACTGGTGGTTCATAACCGCTTACCGTCCACCTCAATGGAACAGTCATTACGGTGCTCGGACCTTGACCCAAAGGTCACGGGTTCGATTCCGGCCGTGGTGGGTGCATTTAGACGGAGGCGAAATGGTAGATGCCCATGTACTGTACGATGTCAATGCCCACTGAAGAGCTCCAGATCGTCGAAATTTTCGGAGTCCTCCGCTACGGCGTCCCTCAAGATCATGCCACGATTTGGGACCATTACACCCCAGAGATCAGTATCATTATTATCATTTTTATAAGCGCTAACAGCCCCTTCGAGGGAAAAAAAGCTTTCTTAGCGATCCCTCCCGCCTTTTCTTGGCATTGTTGCTGCGAGCAACTGTCTTGCGGTGCAGAATGTTGAGCGAGTTGTTAGTCTGTGCTTGACTGTCTAAGTTTAATTTTTTGGAACGGTAACACGTATTCCAAGTATGAATTTCCAACTCGCATCGAGACGGCTCACTGTCCTCCCATTGTTGAGTACGAAATACTCAAAATCGTTTCATACTTTTTCTAAACACGTTTAAGTGTCTTTCTTTCTTCATAATTAATCGACGTAGCGCGTTTAGAATCATAGGACAAGGGAAGGGACAGAAGGGAGCGCTTCCCTTGTCCAATGATTCTAAACGCGCTACGTCGATTAATTATGTCTTACCAACATGCCCAACTTTATACTCTATTCTTTCTTCGTCTATCGTCTCACCGCGCTGTTCGGATTCCAGAAATCTCAGCAGCAACCCACAACTTCAACAAGATCATCGAGAAGACCGCTGCTTGCATCTGAGTGGCGTTTCTGCGCGAAGGCTTATACGTGCTAACACAGGTTTCTTATAAGTATTGACATGGGCAAATATTAGCTAGCCTTACAGATGTCCTTCTTGTCTTCTTCACGACATTGACGAAAAAAAAACTGACACAAGTTTAACAACGCACATCGTCAGAGGCGAAGATGGGTGTCAGTGAATTCTGCCTCTTTACCACTCTGCATTGGTTCGCACCACGGTCGCGGGATCGGATACCGGCTGCGGCGGTTGCATTTTTGATGGAGGCGAAACTGCTCTAGGCCCGTGTGCTCATATTTGGGTGCACGTTAAAGAACCCCAGGTGGTCGAAATTTCCGGAGCCCGCCACTACGGCGTCTCTCATAATCATATGGTGGTTTTGGGACGTTAAACCCCACATATCAATCAATCAATCAATCAATCAGTCAAACCCGCAAATTATTATTTATTTTAACTGCATCTTTTCGACTTTGCGGTCAAGGACAAGATAATTCTTCGCTCACAACTATACTGACACCGACGCCGGATTTTCTGCGAAAGAAGCTCTTTGACTCTGTCGCGTTCACACTGTCGAATCGAGTTTGCGTAGCTTATCACATCGCTAGCTAGTGATTTGGGAGTTGCCTTACGGGCCACAGTTTCTGGTTCGTCCGCGCGCACAGGCCGCAACGTGACGAAGAACAAGGAGTGCCGTCAGCTGCTTGCAGACTAACCGAAAGTTGTATGTTTTTGTTCGACCAATCACAGCATCACTTGTACCGCGCATCACAGATTCAACATGTTGACGCCACACACGTCACGCGGGTGACCGGAAAGGCCCTGAGAAGAGAAGGAGATATTTCTTTGAATTTGTGGCGTGCCCGCTGCATGCAGCTTGTATGCTTTACCCTTAATGCTTGAAAAAAAAAATATCGGAAGAGATTTAGGGGCCATTTCAAGGCAACACACCATGACGTGTTGTGATTACACAAGGATCTTTTAATATTTAAGATGTAGTCAGTTGATGAAAGGCATGCGTAACCACAGGTCGTTTGAACAGTCCTTCTGACTGCACACGAAATATACGAAGACGACGAGTACACATACCTCGTGATAGGGACACTGACACGGGATCTCGTCCCCCGTCTTGACGTCCAGGCATTCCGGCTTGTTGAAAAGGTGTATCTTGCAGATGTCATCGTACGTGCACGAACCCACGCCATTGGGCAGGCACGGTATCGTCAACCACGTGGACAGGCCAAACAGGAGCGTCAGCTTTTTCTGCATCTCAAGGTGCACCTGTGTAAAGTTGGCAGATAGTCCTGTTTTTCTTTCTACGTATATGAACGACGCACGACTTATGGCACAGTTCTTGCTAAAAGAAAACGTGGATACGTGGTCACGTGGTCGAAATGTTTCGTTTGTAATGATTGTTGGGGCCTTACATTCCGAACCTGATATAATAATTATATCTGTGAGGTGCCCCTTTACTTCGCCTTCGAGGTGTTCGCGAGGCTCAATGAAGTAACGCTTACATTAAGAACGCTTAGAAAGGGTATATGTGAGTGATGTAGCAGGCCGAAGAAGTATGCAACGCCAGAGGAGGCGTGACACGTACTTGACGAAGTGCGAGAATCCAAACGGCTCGTCGGAGTCTGACGTCACATTTCAGTCTTTGTGGCAACCCCGCTGAGACTTTCGCCTTCCAGTTGTCTTAAGGCGCGTTCACACCGAGCGCGTGAGCGGGAAAGCGGATTTTCGAAGCGGTGCGGCAGCGAGCGCGCGCTGCTGTTCAGACCGATGACGTTGCCTTCTTCCCGTTCTGCCGCAAGCACGAGGCAATTCACCAATCCACGGCGGGCGTGTCGCCATCTTGCGGCACTATGCGATACTGCACGCACGCCTCTCGGGCGCTGATTGACTGCGGCCAAAGCGGCCAACTCTTTCGCGCTGAGAAGAGAGGCCGCAAATTTTCCGCTTTTGCGGATAATCCGCGTCCGCTTTCCGGATCCGCGCTCGGTGTGAAGGTGCCTTTAGCGACAGTGTAAGAGACCCGCATACTTTATTTTTTTTTTTCAAGAGTGAAGCTCGAAGTAAACGTCGGGTGTCCGTAAAAAATAATTACGCAATCTTTCGCTAAAGGGAACCATGATCAGATGCGAAGCAGTAGGTGCTAATGTTTACACTGGCGGCGGCATTGATGCTGGCACTCATCGCGACGTTGCGCAGGAGAGAAACCTGGGTAGGCGCAAATCACGCAGTGATGAATCAGTGTTTCCTACTGGGACATGCCAATTGCTGCTAATGGGCAATGAGAGACCGAAGACTCTGATTAGAGACAGAGACCCGCAATTCGCTTTTAGTTAATGCGCATGCTGCGAATTTTTATTGTTCAACAACACACAAGAGAAATCTCCCACCGGTACTACCTTGGATTAGGATGTTGTATGTAGCCGGCGGATGATCAAGATCCAGTGCCTGTATATACAGGGTGGCCAGTGAACAGTTGTGCAGCGTGAGCAGTCAGTTTTTTTTTTTCTACCAAGAAACTCGCTAGCAGATGCGTGCTGCCTCAGCCAGTGTTGCAAGGCGAGAGAGGGGGAGCTTAAGAAAGGAGAGTGTGAGAGACGCGCATGCCGAAGGAGGTTGTAATCGCCGCGGGGAGAGGTGCCTAAAGGAGATAGGGGGGAACGAGCCTAAGCTATGAGACGCTCTGCATCGGCGTTGCGAGGCAAGGATGGGTGGTAGGAGAGGAGCGTGAGAGAGAGAATAGGCGCACGCGCAGTGGAGCGCGGTCGCCACCAGATCAAGCTCACCCGTAAAATGCGTCACATCTAAAAAATCACAGGTTTGCCGCAAAGGCGACAAAATGAATGCGATAGCAACAAATCGGAACGTCACGCGCAGAATAGAAAGCAGATCGAAACGTGCCCTGCGTTTCTCACGCACAACGACGCACGAAACGTACTCACAGGTACAGATGCACGAGAATAAGCATCTCAGTTGTTACTTCGCTGTGTCTGAAAAGCACGCACTTTTCGCAAACGGAGACTGCAATGATTGCAGTGGCATTTGTGCGACTGGTAACTACAACAGAATCGTTCCAGGTAAAGCCCGAGGCCAGCCAATACGTACGATCCTCCCCTCCTCCCGACCGCAAGATAAGGGCGCGCGAGGAGGCGTCGCTCCCCTCCTCTAAGCGGGGCAAAGTACGTGTGGGAGATTGGAGCGCGTGCCACCGTGCGATGTGGCGTTGCGCGCTCCTGCGCCATCTTGCTGGTAATGCTGAAAACACGATAATTCCCCCCGAGGTGCCCGTCAGCAGCGGTAAGTGGTAGATATGGGCTCTTTCCTGTCTCCCTTGTTTTTCTTCAAGTTTGTGCAGCAATTCAATTTTTCAAAAAAAAAAAGATATAAAAAGCTTGCCGTTTCAACGTTCAAGGATGCGCTTTTCTGTGGCTCAGTGGTTAACGCCTCGCACTCACGATTCAGGAAACCCAAGTTCGATTCTGCGCGCCGGGGTTTTTTGCTGCTTTTTTTTCTTTCTTGATTGATATGTGAGGTTTAACGTCCCAAAACCACCATATGATTATGAGAGACGCCGTAGTGGAGGGCTCCGGAAATTTCGACCACCTGGGGTTCTTTAACGTGCACCCGAATCTGAGCACACGGGCCTACACCATTTCCGCCTCCATCGGAAATGCAGCCGCCGCAGCCGGGATTCGAACCCGCGACCTGCGGGTCAGTAGCCGAGTACCTTAGCCACTAGACCACCGCGGCGGGGCTTTTTTTTTCAAATGTATATATATATATATATATATATATATATATATATATATATATATATATATATATATATATATATATATATATGTGTGTGTGTGTGTCAGTGGGAGTAATAATTCAATTGGCCAGTTAGTCTTCGTGAAGGTATGGGATATGGCACAACGGGAGCGTTGTCAACAAGGATAAATATATTTATTTCCCAACAGTTTCGGGAGGGGTCCTCCCTTCATCAGGGGATGAGTTATACTGACATGAGCTTCCAAACTTCGTTGCTGCCGCGTCCCTCTCGCCTTGAAAGACGTTTGCGAGAGTGAGAGGGAACTAAAAAAAGAGAAAAAAAGGCGAAAAAAAGAAAGAAAAGAAAGAAATTAAAAAAGAGGAAGAACCACTGTCAACACTGAGAACGAAGCCAACTGTCCGTCTACATCCACATACTGTTCATATCACGTGCTGTTCAGTTCTTGACGTGTGTCGGGCCACCCAAGATTGTCGCCGCGGTGCCGGGAGGGTCCGTGACAGCGCGCGTAAAAAAAGGGGTTTCCCCGTAATGGGTCGTTCGGCGGGCGGCGGGCGGCATGCGTAAAGGAAAGGTTTCTCGTTAATGGGTCGGTCGGCTATTTACCTTTAATCTTCGTCCGTTTCCCTTCAATGGTCATGAAGTGGTAGGCGAACGTAAACACTTTGTATGTGCATGTGAAAAAAAAAACAAGGACAGTGTACACGTACGAGTCAGTCAGAAAAAAGCATGGTCTCCAGCTATCAATCTTTGTCACCAATTTTCTCCTGGCTTACTTCTCGGAGGCAGTTGAGTTTTCCGGGGTCCTCGTTGATGCCGGCTACTAATGTACAAAATTTGAAAATAAAATATGCCTCACGCTGTTCGCGCTCGCGTCTGTTTGAGAAACCGGACTGCAAAAGAGTTACGCTGATATTTTCAAAACTGTGGTTTGGCAGGCGCAGATGTCTAGATAAAGGTAGCTTCGGCAGTGAAGTGGCGTGGTACCGGTGATTATTGAACCGCAGCCGAAATGGCGTGTCTGTTTGGCCGATATATTCTTGTCCACAGATGTTGCAATGTAGCATGTATATTACGTTACTGGAGTCACAATTAAGGCTTTCAGTTATGCAGAATTTGAAATCCGAGAAGTTCGCTTTGGATTCACGTGTTGTGACCATCTGTAGGCATACCTTGCATCGAGCTTTTCCGCAGGGATGGCACCCTGATTGAATTTTGGGGGTGTTTGTTTTTGCTCTGACAAGAATGTCCTTCAGATTTTTATCCCAGCGGTACACCACGCCGGGATAAAAATCTGAAGGACATTCTTGTCAGAGCAAAAACAAACACCCCCAAAATTCAATCAGGGTGCCATCCCTGCGGAAAAGCTCGATGCAAGGTATGCCTACAGATGGTCACAACACGTGAATCCAAAGCGAACTTCTCGGATTTCAAATTCTGCATAACTGAAAGCCTTAATTGTGACTCCAGTAACGTAATATACATGCTACATTGCAACATCTGTGGACAAGAATATATCGGCCAAACAGACACGCCATTTCGGCTGCGGTTCAATAATCACCGGTACCACGCCACTTCACTGCCGAAGCTACCTTTATCTAGACATCTGCGCCTGCCAAACCACAGTTTTGAAAATATCAGCGTAACTCTTTTTTGCAGTCCGGTTTCTCAAACAGACGCGAGCGCGAACAGCCTGAGGCATATTTTATTTTCAAATTTCGTACATTAGTAGCCGGCATCAACGAGGACCCCGGAAAACTCAACTGCCTCCGAGAAGTAAGCCAGGAGAAAATTGGTGACAAAGATTGATAGCTGGAGACCATGCTTTTTTCTGACTGACTCGTACGTGTACACTGTCCTTTCTTGTTTTTTTTTTCACATGCACATACAAAGTGTTTACGTTCGCCTACCACTTCATGACCATTGAAGGGAAACGGACGAAGATTAAAGGTAAATAGCCGACCGACCCATTAACGAGAAACCTTTCCTTTACGCATGCCGCCCGCCGCCCGCCGAACGACCCATTACGGGGAAACCCCTTTTTTTACGCACGCCGTCACGGACCCTCCCGGCACCGCGGCGACAATCTTGGGTGGCCCGACACACGTCAAGAACTGAACAGCACGTGATATGAATAGTATGTGGATGTAGACGGACAGTTGGCTTCGTTCTCAGTGTTGACAGTGGTTCTTCCTCTTTTTTACTTTCTTTCTTTTCTTTCTTTTTTTCGCCTTTTTTTCTCTTTTTTTAGTTCCCTCTCACTCTCGCAAACGTCTTTCAAGGCGAGAGGGACGCGGCAGCAACGAAGTTTGGAAGCTCATGTCAGTATAACTCATCCCCTGATGAAGGGAGGACCCCTCCCGAAACTGTTGGGAAATAAATATATTTATCCTTGTTGATAACGCTCCCGTTGTGCCATATCCCATATATATATATATATATATATATATATATATATATATATATATATATATATATATATATATATATATATATA